ATCGTGCGATAGCGTCATCAGCGTTTGACCAGGGGCATGATGACGAAGCTTGACCAGCTGCTATTTTTAAGTATATTACGCAGATTTGGCCTACCGGGCAATTGACTTCCAAAAGAGGCTGGTAAATAGAAGCAAAACACCCTACGTGGCCGACTTGCTCCTGATTCACCCCTAAGCCGAATATAGTTCCTCTAAAACGACCTTAATCGGCACGAAAATTTTGACAGGGTGCTCCTGATTCACCCCTAAGCCGAATATAGTTCCTCTAAAACGACCTTAATCGGCACGAAAATTTTGACAGGGAAGTAAGTAATACTAAGTACTAAATACTTTGCATTACTAACACCTGAATTTTCTATCAGAAGAGATTTTTAAACATTTTTAGCGGACTGCCAATTAGCGGAACTAAATTTGGCGGAAGCTAATTGGTCCGCTAATGGTTTTCAAGGTTAGCTGAAAAGCTAATCCGATAAGAAAAATATTAGCTTCGCTAATGAGAGGTTAGCGGATTAGCGGAACTGTGCCCACCACCGCTGGGACCAAACCCGATGATGCAACGAAAAAAAATAATCACAGAAAACGAGCAAATTGGTAATTTACGACTACGCTTTCTGTCCTTGTTTGTACGCGTTTCTATCGCAGCGGCTCGCGGATCGGTGAGGACGGTGGAGACTGTAAACCCGGATTATGAAAACTTCGTTTCTTTTTACACCTACGCCCAAAAATATACGTGTTGCGTAAGTACACCCTAATTTTGGCATTATCAAAACTTGCGTACGACAGACTTACCTGAAAAGCTATTATCAAAACCATCTGGCTACGGTAACTGACCAATCAATCTGAGAATCCTAAACGTTTTTACTCTAAAACGTCAATGACAAATGCCGTTTCAAGATTGCAAAACGAGTATTTAACGATTAATATGATAAAATGAAGAACGAGTGTAAAATTGCGGTGAATTCGTCTTATTTCATTGATGGAACCCGAGAATGGAATCCGAATTTAAACTGAGCTTGTGCGCCCCTTCGCTGCATGAGCTCACCTGCTGCGCGCGGCCATTCAAAATGACGTAGTGGGTTTTCTCCTCTTCGATATCCTGAAAGAGAACTTAAATTTATCTAACATAATCGCTTTGATTTCCGAAGAATATGGACAATTCAATGTTCACGACTGTTAATCAGGAAGAAATTATCAATGGGGAGTAGGAAGTTTTACTAATCAATTTGCGACCAATTTGATAACGACAAAGGCTTGGAGTATTTTATTAGAGTTATATTGAGAATGTGATTCATGCACATTTTAAAAATGTTATTAACCCTGATGGAAACAATTAACATTTTATTTTTTGAAATAGTCTTTGAATAATTTATGCATGGCTTAAGCAGAAAATCGTGGTTTATTGTGCAACTGGTATTTTACCCAAGTCGCGTATAAGAGTAATAAATTTGAGAAAAAAAAAAGAGCCAAAAGAGGAAATATTTCAAGGAAAAAAAATTCCTTTTCTGTAAGGGAAAATTACTTGACACAGCCTCTTATAACCACTTAACAGTTACCGTTTATACGTCCAATGTGGATAGACCCGAGACAAGGAAAACTCAATATTGTTCTTTAATTTGGTTAGAGACTAAAAATCCGACAACGGAATCAAATTAAGACGTTTTTTCGTTAAAAAATCTTTCCTTTCTTGAAACTTGGAAAATTGCATTTTGGAACGTGCCAGCAAAAAAACTTAGGTTGTGTCTTCGTTAAGAATGTCAATATCTATATGAACTGAAGATTATGAGTTTCGTGTCATTATTGCCGACGGGAGAAAGCCTCAGGGCCAAGATTACGTACGTTTCAGTAATTCGCCAAAATAATTTCTCTAATCACTCACTTTCTCAAGTTGAGCTCTTAGTTTATTGACAACAGGAAACAATTCTCTGCTGAAGATGAATCTGTTTTCTAAGTCGTAAAGAGCGCAAGCTTGTGACTTTGCTGCCAAGTGTTGATTTTCCAGGAATGTGGAGTCCACGTAGTCGCTGTTGGGATGGATTATCGAGTCCATTATTTCCTTGTAAGAAGCCAGAGCTTCGGATTGAGCCACTTTGCTGCATGAGTGCGCGTTTGAGTTACGCGCATTACTTTTGCTGTAGCTTGCGTACTTTTTGTCGATTGTCTGAAACATTATCACGAATATGAAATCAAAATATTAGAGAATTCCGAGATGGAAAATGATGTGAATCAGCAGTTAAATAATCAAATGTATCGAACAAGTTATTAACAAGTTAATTTTTCGATTAATGAAAGAAAATACTTTGGCATGCCATACAGAGTTGTGTTTGTGGTCAGACACTCAAATAACTTTTATTTCAGACATTGAATTCTGTGCTATATCGGTCACACATTTTCCTATTGATTTAAGAGACCGTAACAATCACGGAAACGCAATTCATAAATATAATAAAAAAATCCGAGCACACATCAACTTAATGGGAGCATTACGGTCAAAATCTATTTTCTATATTTAGGTAAGGATCATCTCCAAACTTGGTACACATATGTAGAACAGAATTCTAAGACTTTTTTGTTCGCGTGAATTTTTCGACAAAAATGAAAGAAAACGTGAAATTCATTGAAAACGGCCAAAAAACGGGTACTCTAAAAAGTTTATAACTGTTGCAAATCACTTGCTACAACATCGAGACACGTATCATTCGATGCGTAAAGACCATATCTAGCAATTCTCGGGCCACTTTTTCAATTTTTTTCTTGGTTCTCTTGTTATGATGATTTTTCTGAAAAATTTCGAATTTTCATCCACTTTTTGAATTTTCCTCATTTTTTCTAAATATTTTCAAAACTAAAACGAAATCGAAAAAAATGGCTCGAGAATCGTTAGATATTTTAATTGCGAATCGAATGGTATATGTCTCATTGCTGTAGCTTCAAAACTCTAGGAGTTATAAAGTTTTCCGTGACAAAAAGTTGAATGTTCAGTAGGGAGCGACAAAGTCTCGCGCGCCTCGCAATAGGCACTCAATGTAGCATAGATACCAAACTAAACGTTTCTGCAGCTTGATTCCACTCAAGGATGGTGGGAGCAACTACATGCGCACCTCCCCGTACAACGCCCGGAGGCACACTAAGTCACACCTCCTAAAAACATCGTATTTGTAGTGCTGGGCAGCGAATTACCTCCTATCTAATTACTGAAGGAATTCCCCCTACCGCCCCTTTTTCATGATCTGTCGTGAACGCATAAATCAACGTACAGAGATGGTAATGCCGTGCCGTTGGATAGACCAGAATATCAGCTTTAAGATGAAACTAAACAAGTAACTGCAGCACAACTCAAGTAGACACTATATTTGAAGAGCTCAGTAGCTAATTACCTCCTATCTAAGTACCTAAGGAACTCCCCCACCTGCCCCCCTTTCATGAATTGTCGTGAACGAATAAATCAACGTACATAGATGGTTTTGGTACTACTGGATAGCTCAGAATGCCAGCTTTAAGATCAGACTACAAACCGGAAAAAGCCAAAACCGTCGATTTTGACCGCAATGCTCCCCTTAACATAAATTTGAATTTTTTTCCTACTGAAATTGTATTTCAAAAGCGATAAAATTGAAACTAGTAACAAATTAAACAGATTGTTCATGAATTGCTCGAATAACAGGTTGAAAATAATTTCGTATAGTAACTACAATATCTGGTAAATAACACAAGACTAATTATATTATCGCAGAGTCACACATGATTACCCTCTCAAGTTGCACTTTCATTTCATCCACAACAGGAAATTGGTTGCTGCTCTCGCTGTTTTGGTGTTCCCGCTGGTAGGCTGCAATGGCTTCGTCTTTTGATGTTAAGTGTTTCTCATTCAGGGAGGAAACATCGAGTGGTTCTTGATCGAAGCTCGTCACTTTACCCATAGCTTCCTCATACATTTGCAGGGCCTTGTTGTAGGCCGCGTTGCTTAAAGTGCGCGCTCTCTGTTTACGTTTATCCATCTCGACATAGGGCTTGTAGCTGCGATCAATTCCCTGGAATGAAACATGTCTTTAGTACGAAGACAAACATTATAATCTGCTCATTGTAAATATTTGCATTACATTTACTCTTCCTGTCGTGTGGTCAGAATCTGTACAAATTGTCATTAGACAACGTTCTAGACGGCGCACTATGCAAGTATAATAACTCTTGTTCATCATAACTGCAAAAACCGCAGATTATGAGTTTAATGTCATTACTGCCAACACCAGAAAGACCCATTTTCGAAATTATGTTTCAGTCAGGGTCAGCTTAGAAATTTCTCTATTCACACACTTTCTCGAATTGAGCTCTGAGTTTATTGACAACAGGAAACTCTTTTCTGTCGATGGTGTATTTGTTTCCTTCGTCATAAAGAGAGCAAGATTGTATCTTCGCTGTCAAGTGTTGATTTTTCAGGGAATCGGAATCCACGTAGTCGCTGTTGGGACGGATTTTCGAGTCCATTTTCTCCTTGTAAGAAGCCAGAGCTTGGCTTTGAGCCACTTTGCTGCATGAGTGCGCGTCTGAGTTACGCGCATTACGTTCGCTGTAGCTTGCGTACTTTTTGTCGATAGTCTGAAACATTATCACGAATATGAAATCAAAATATTAGAGAATTCCGAGATTGGAAATGAAGTGAATCAGCAGTTAACTAATCAAATGTATCGAACAAGTTATTAAAACAAGTTTCTGGTCAGTGTGTGGTTTTGTGGTCAGACACTCAAATAAAACAAGTTGTGGTTTTGTGGTCAGACACTCAAATAATTTTTATTTCAGACATTGAATTCTGTGCTATATCGGTTAATCATTTTCATATTGATTTCAGATACCGTAACAGTTGCGGAAACGCATAACCGTAAATTTAATAAAAAAAATCCGCGCACACATCCACTTAACAGAAATTTGAATTATTTTTTTCCAACTGAAATTGTATTTCAAACGCGATAAATTTGAAACTAGGAACAAATCAAACATATTGTTCATGAAGTGCTCGAATAATGGGTTGAAAATAATTTCGTATAGTAACTATTTGGTAAAAAAACTCAATACGAAATATATTATAGCAGAGTCTCACATAATTACCCTCTCAAGTTGAACTTTCATTTCATTCACAACCGGAATTAGTTTGATGCTCGCGCTGTTTTGGTGTTCCCGCTGGTAGGCTGCAATGGCTTCGTCTTTTGATGTTAAGTGTTTCTCATTCAGGGAGGAAACGTCGAGTGGTTCTTGATCGAAGCTCGTCACTTTATCCATAGCTTCCTCATACATTTGCAGGGCCTTGTTGTAGGCCGCGTTGCTTAAAGTGCGCGCTCTCTGTTTACGTTCATCCCTCTTGACATAGGGCTTGATGCTGCGATCGATTTCCTGGAATGAAACATGTCTTTAGTGTGAAGTCAAATATTATAATCTGCTCATTATAAATATTCACATTCAATTTACTCCTCTTGTCGTGTGGTCAGAGTCTGTAGTACAGATTTTTAGAAGACGACGTTCTAGACGGCCCGCTTTTCAAGTATTTTGACTCATGTTCATCTTAAATGCAAAAATGTACAGCATGTCATGAAACTGTTCCGTGACGGAATGGGTATCACGCTCCAGCTGCAAGAAGCTTCTTTATTCGAGCAGAACCAGTGAAACAGATAAAGAAACGAAGAAACAGATAAAAATCCTAGCTTACAGGGAATAGTTTACGAAGATTAGAGAATTTTTAGAGATAATTCAACCACTATGGGATCTTTTTCAACCTTCTTACAAGCTGTACATGCAATTAACCAAAGTCCCGCTTCATGGACGACTCAAAATTAAAGAACATAAAAATTGCAGTTTCTCTGCTGCCATCAGTCAAAAGGTTCATGTGCCTTACCAACTTCATGATAAACCTATCAGTATTCACTGGACTATCAAAAAATTATCAGTAAAATCGTTTATTATGATGCTCGAGTGAGTGAAAACAAAGAAATATTACTAATAGTGTTCCTAATTGAGCCTCAAATGGTTGATCATAAATTTACGTTCAATTTCATCTCTAGTTCAGGCGAGTGTAAGATTACGACGCTTAGAATCATACTATTCGCTTGTTGAACGGACATTTCTGTTGTCTAGAACTTCGTTCACTCAACCTTTAGATCTGGATTTAAAAGTTAATTTTTAATTTAAAAGTTAAACTCAGCATTGCCACTTTCCACTGCTAGATGTTGCGAGAAATCCATTAATTATTCATTTAGTAGATAAAAATGAATAATTACGAGTTGGTGTTCACAAAAATTCAAATACGCACTGCAGCCGCAGATTCCGATATGTCATGTTCAGTACTAGTTACTGAACATTTTCCTTCGTAGAAGTAGGCAAGTCCTAGCTGGAGACGGCGCAGCCGTAGGCCACAAATTTTATTCATAAATAAGCCCTGGAGCCAACGCCTAGCTTTACCATGCATTAACTTTACTCAGCCTCAGTATTAGAAGCTGCAGACTACGCTTGAACTCTGTAATCCAGACAAGCGACACTGCCGAAAGATATTAGCGCCGTAGGTCTTTAGCCACTGCTTAAACATGCTCGCTCAAAAGCAGGCAGTTCCCCATCCGCTGTACCAACTCCGGCTTAACCTCTTCTGGCCTAACCTATTCACGCTTTCCCGGCTCAGAACCTTCTTGCAGCCAATGACTGCCTCTACCAGCTCAATTGGACCGCCTTTCTAACTTCTTGCAGCCAATGAGGTCAGGTTAGGTCCGCTCAGGTTGGTTTTGGGTGAAGAAAGGTTGCAGCTCGTATAGGTTAGACCTGAAGAGGTTAGGCCAGATGCAGCATGGCCATGTTTACCTTTGGCAAGCTTAAGTTGTTTCTGTAAACATCCGGCGTTGTGGCTTTGAGCACTTGACTTCATAGGACGTTATGCACTCTAGCGTTCTTACCTATGGAAAGGAATAGGAACTAAGTGTGAAGTATGGCAAAGCTGGCCTCCGGCATGCGCCCCCTAGCTGGATAGGGAATTGTGTTTTGTTTTGACGGTTGCGGGTTGCGACTGATGCGACAGCCCGGTGCGCGCACTGTTTTGATAAGGATCTATTTATCCTTGGATATTTATTACTAATTTCATTTTAGAATATTACTGTTGAAATATTGAAGAGTTATTCACGTTTATATCACCATTCTATTATAGTGTAAGTTTGTTCATTTGTATGTTAATTATTTACAGAAACCGTTGGCGGTATGTTCAATAAATGACATATCGGTAGAATATTTTTATGCAGATTGTGATTTTGTAGATTCGGGCTAAATTGGAGAAAGTAAAATTTCTCTCAACCATGTACTGACCACCTCAAGCTGAGCTCTAATTTCATTCCGAAGAGATAACAGTTCTGTCTTGACGATGTTTTTGATTAGCTCATCGTAGACTGCCATGGCTTAGTCCTTTGAATCTGAGGGAAGTTTCAGAACACTGGGGGCGCCAAGAACGTCCCCAGTGGGGCAGTTCTTGGGGACATGGCCTCCTCGTAGGCCTTCTTTGCTTTTTTGCGGGCGGCAGCGCAGCTTGAGCGCGCCTTCTACTCGTCTTCATTGATCCTGATGGTGACCTCGAACATCTCTTCCATTTCTTAAGTATAACAAGCTTTAGATCACTTGATTGCATAAATTGCAAATTAACAAGAAATTTAAGGGGAGCATATACGTCAAAAATAAAAAAATTAAGCTTCTCCGGTTTCTTGGTTCATTTTGTAGCTGCTGAAAAGGCACGTCTAACGCAGCAAACCGCATGCATGTGCGTGCTCTATTTCTCCTCATCAATTCTATCTCCTCATTCAATTAATTAATTGAATGAGGAGATAGAATTTTACAGTACCTCTTTTTGCCGTTTTATATGAATTTCACGTTTTTTATTTTTTTTTCGAAAAATTTACTCTAACAAAAGAGTCTTAGTATTCTATTTTACATATTTGTACCAAGTTTCAAATTGATCCGTTCGTAAATAAAAAAGTTTTGTCTAGCTATACATGCTCCCCTTACGAACAAAGATATCACAGAAATTCACCATATCTTTAAAAAAGAAATCATTTTGGAGTCCGCTCCATCGTCTGTTATATAAGCCTAGAAAGTAAATACAATCAGTTAATAATCCAAAATTAACAATTAGAAATCAAAACCTAAAATTGACAAATAAAAGACAAATCGATGACGATGGAGCTGGACTCTGAAACGTTTTCTTATATCAAGATATGGGGAATTTCTGTGCCATCTTCTTTTTGGAATCCTTGATAACAAGTCGTGCGAGGGGGGAAATTATTTTGATATATCTAATTAAAAAGGTAAGAATCTATGCTTAGCAATTAAAATTTTTATCTATAAAAATATAGTTACAACTGAATGGATTGACATCGCTGATTCGTGACGAAATTTAATTTAAAAAATCGCAAAGATTTGTCACGTTTTAAGTAATGGGATGGCAACTACATTTCTGCTAACAACTGCAGTTAATTATGCTTGCATATATGAAATAATTTCAACTATTAGACCCCAGCTTCAGGCATTGGGAGAGTTATAACTCAGCCCCATGCTGATAATTTGATAGTAAAAAAACAAAGTAATTAATTAAATGAGATGATGAACGAACATAATGCATCATTCGCCATAGCGATAATTTAGAGTGAATGGCGATGAATACAGATTTTCATCCATACATAAAAAGTATTGAAAATATTGAATCGGTGTATGGCAGATTGAACATTTTTCTACTCATCTGCTGTTGAAATGTGAGAATTCGATTGGTGGTTTATGAAATTAATTTCATCTTGGTTGGAAAAGAAGGTGCGTGTTTGTCTGTGGCTTCTGTTGAATGTTAATGGTTTAAAAAATTTAAGGTTTCTAAAAACAGCTATGACAATATCAGAAGGCAGGTCGAGTTGCTGACATGATACTGAACAAATATATGTTGAGACGAAGTTAATTAATAAACACCAAATAAACATAGAATTAGTTATTATTTTAATCTACTCCATCTTACTCTGAAACGTTCTTTATTACCATTTATTGGCATTTTCGACATAAGTTGACTTGGTTTTTATTTTTTTTTATTCAGTAAAAGCCTGTCCATGCAATTTTCAGTTAAGGTGCTTAGCAGAGCTCATTTCAGCAGAGCTGGGCAGCGCTACACTTAGCACACTTATTTCAGTAGAGCTGGGCAGCGCTACATTGAAATGCAGCGAGCGCTACCGCTACCGCTACATGCTCTAAATGTAGCGGGCGCTACCGTTACCGCTACACCCACTAGATTGTAGCGAGCGCTACCGCTACCACTACAGTAAAATGTAGCGCCGCTACAATGGCCAAAATTATTGGAAATCATCTAAATATTTATTGTTCTGCTATTGGGATTTACTCATTAACATTTAATGATAATAAAACATTTTCTAAGAACTTAAAAGCAAAGAAAACACCACAAAAATTCGTAGTATCTTTAAAGAAAACGTTTCGGAGTCCAGCTCCATCGTCAGTTCGAAAATTCTAGAACACAGATAAATCAGTAATTAGTACAGTCTTGATTGCAACAAAAAACCTAAGCTGTAAAACCTATCTATTTACAATTTCAAGCGGGTAAGAGCTAAAAGCTAAATTCAAACTAGGCCTCTGTTTAAAAATATACAATGATTCTAAAATGCGCAAATCAGAAACACCGGAACTGGAAGCTAAAACTTTGAAGTCACTGTCAGACACTGGAACATCGCACTGCTCGGCGTGAGCCCGCACAGCTGAATGAGGGGGGCGCGACAGTAAGTTACCAGTTCTACAACTTCTGCCCTTATGTTCTGCGACCCTAGAATAAAGATTGCGAGACGTCATCCCGACGTACGCAGATGCACATCGTGCACAACTATATTCATAAACTAGGGACGCTCGCATATGCATAGGGAGAGTATCTTTGTACCTAAAAAAAGAACCGATTTTAAAATGGTTGACCAATATAACACGTAGGTTAACATTTGCGAAATACTTAGAAAACAGAAGCTTTAGCTCCCTTGACATAGTTTCGGATGCAGGGCCGAAATATGGAAGAGAGCAATAAACAACTTCCCTACTGTCGCGCTCGGGGGCAACGTCATTGTACCGCTTGGACATGAATTTCTTTATTTGGGTAAACACCAGATTAGTCGGAAATCCATTAAGCGAAAAAATATTGCGTAAAAATTCGAATTCAGCGTGCAGAATATTGTAAGTAGAACAAATTCGAAAGCCCCGATGTAAAAGTGTTTGAATCCCATTAATCTTAAATCGAAAGGAGCAAAAGCTAAAAAAGCTGGTACTGAGACCTGTGAGAGTCGATTTTCGGAATACAGAAGTTTGAAAACGGCCATTAGATTTAGTAATATTGCAATCGAGGAAGGATAGGCTATTGTCAGATTCCAGTTCCATGGTAAATTTGATTGATTTATGCTGCGAATTTAGGTAATCGAGAAAGAGTTTAACGTGAGAAGGATGCTTAAAAAGTAAAAAAGTGTCATCAACGTATCTGTTGTAGAATATTGGCTTAAAATCAAGAGGGCAATTGGACAGCCAGGACACCTCGTGAAAACACATAAAAATATTCGCAAAGGTTGGGCCGAGTGGAAGACCCATACCCAAACCGTCAATCTGTCGGTAAAGCTTGTTAGCAAATATGAAAAAAGAGTTTAAAACAGATAATTCCAAAAGAGATTTAAACAAATTACGTTTGTGGGCTATTTGCCCACAGCCGTGGGCAAATAGCCAAACTGTTGTGTGCTTGCATTAAACACAGCCTGGAGTTTTCGCGACTTTTGAAAATAAGCGCCCGACATTACAGCGCCGTTACGTCACAGCCACCGCTTCATCGCGCTCTACTCCACAGGCAGAAGCGCAAACCGCCGTCCCTATAACGCCATGCCCCGGCTCTCCCCCTTCGCAGCCAGCAGAAGGCTTTTCTCGTTGCCCGATCAGTAATGCGCCTGGCGCGATGGAGGGACCTAACCTAACCTGGCGCACAACTGATCAGCAATTGAAGAAAGCCTTATGGCTGCGAAGGGGGAGAGCCGGGGCATGGCGTTATAGGGACGGCGGTTTGCGCTTCTGCCTGTGGAGTGCGGCGGGATTACGCCAGTCCTGCAAATATAGCAGAGCAGGTTTACGGTGATCCGGCGTGGTCAGCGGCCAGTAAGGCTTACGGTGTGTGTAAGAAGTGATAGTATGGGGTAAAATTCTGTGGAGTAAGACCTGTTGACAATTAACTATTTGATTCAGCAGGCTGTGGAGTGAGGTAGGTGTTGCTTAAAGTTGGTGTGGGGAGATGACCCAGTTGCCTCCAGCTTCTTGGGTGTGAGCTGAGTTTAGTTATTGCATTATTGGGTAGGCGTTGGCGCAACGGCTTGTTTATGAGCTAAATTTGTGGTGTAGGGCTGCGCTCCCATTTCAAAACCGGCTGTTTTTCTCTAGCACTTCTAGTTTAAGGTATATTTGCATTCTTTTGTGAAATATGTATAATTTTTATATATTCATACACAATTATATTATCAGTTTGTTTTGAGGATCTTCAGGCTTTTCAGAATTTTTGCAAATAAAACTTTTTATTAGTAAAAAAATATATAACTTTTTATCCCAAATGATTTCATGGAAGATGGCTCTGTACATAAGGTTTAAAGTGCAATCTTGTGATTAAGTTGTCATCATTCCGAATAAAATTGTTAATAGCACTTTCAAGAGGACACTTTTCAACATCGAATTTTTGTTCTGCTTTTTTGATGGATTAAAGCACTTATTATAGGTTCCGTAATGTTTGGGCCAACTCACGTTTAACACTTTTTCCAGCACCACTTGGCCTCCCTTGTGACCGTACGCATGGTCAGTTGGATGACTCCAGTCGCGCACGAGGAACATCAGCTTCTGAACCGGGACAACATAAGTAAATATAAGTCAGGTCGTTCAAGTAATTCGAAACTAATTCTTTTGAAGCCTTAAGAAACCTTGGACGGATAAGTACAATTACTATTTTATTATTTTGAACGAGCAGATCTTGACATTATATGCCTTGGCTTACCACTTGAGGTAGCATATTTCAAATTAAGCACTGGATAGGAAGCGCACATGATGAATGATGCATTTGTGAAGACAAATTTAAAATCGATTATGTGATCCACGGGAGCAAATTACAATAAATAAGAATTTGTAAATTCAAAGTCTGCCTGGTATAGAGGAATGAATATTTCCAAAATAGAATTGAATGCTTTGCAATAACCGAATTACCGAGCCTTGTTATGGGCTGAAGAAAACAGATAACTCATGCCCTTTCAACTGAGAATGACTTGCTTTAAGTTATACGTAATAAACTTAGATAGGATTTATTTTGATTATTACAGTGATGAGCTATACCAATAATAGTTTACTCAAACCGCGAATTTTTCAACCGAGTTCATGGTTTTAGTACAGTTTTTTATTTAAATTTTTCATCATATGCGATGATAAATTAGTTTATTTGATATTAAGAGGTGCTCCTTTTGGTCGTAGGGTGACATGAAATGCCGTTATCTCATTTGTCAAATGCAAAACTGAAATAAATACTCGCCTATAGCTGCATACACTTGAAGTACTTTAACAATATCACTTTAAGGTTTACGTTCAAGCCTCCACTGACAAAAATCTCGTTTTAAAGAAATACGGATATCATTGAAATAATACTTTGATTTTATAATATACGGGAAATAATAAGTAAGCCAATAGGCAATGCCTACGCCAACATGGTTCATTTAGCTCCCACACGAGAGGGGGGCCATTGGAGTGGTAAAAATTCAATGAGTATCCGAAAGAGCTCTGTACTTGAAATGTGTACGAGCTGTGTGCCTGAAATGTGTACGAGCTGTGTACCTGAAATGTGTACGAGTTGTGTATCTGAAATGTGTACGATCAGTTTACCTGAAATGAACGCGTGCCTTGACTATTTTCCTGAGCCAGGACGCAATATGAGCTGAAAGTTTGGAGGTTCATGAGGTCGTCCTCCTGAATCTGGTTCATCAGGTTGTAGACAGTGACAGAAGAGGCCAGCAGAGTCAGGGCGAATATGAACGTGGATTCCTGCCAGAAATGGGACACAAGAAAAGCTGTAGCAGAAATGAGGGATTAATAAGTTGTTTATGAGCTTTATTCGTATTCTCGACAAGTAAATGTTAGATGAGCTTGTAGAAGAAAACTATTTTTGAAAACTCATATTGTAATTAACTGTGCAAGATTTATATTCCCTGCATCACTTACTTATAACAGAATCTTCATTTGAAACCCGAAATAAACACTTAGAATAGAATAGAAGTGTAGGCACTGAAGAAAAAGGCCCATGGCCTGTTGCCGACTCTTGTACTTTTCGTGGCTTGATTCCACAAGGGAACTTGCCTTTTGAACCCGATCTTTCCATAACTGACGATTGATTGAGATAGCTGCTGGACTTATTGCAAGACCGTAAAGTGCAAGGCATTTAAAGACTGAAGATATTCTCCTGCATAGCTTCGTCTAGTCTGTTCTTGAAGGCGTTCATACTCGGAGCGTCAACGATGCTATCAGGGAGGATGTTCTACATGTCGGTGACTCGAAGCGAGAAAAAAATGTTGTCGCATGAATGTGTTACAACGCAGTTCTTTTAGTTTATAGCCGTGGCCCCTGGTGTTGGTTCTTGTTTGAAATTCTAGGACTCCTTCTGGTACTTTGTATGAACCGTAGGTACACTTATATACTTCAATGAGGTCACCACGCAGAGGTCGATAACAGAGGCTTGGAATCTTCATAATATTTAATCTTTGTTCATAAGGCTTGGGAATTATCCATGTTGCACGTCTTTGAACGCTCTCGACTAAATTTTTGTCATTTACTAGTTTTGGTAACCACACGGCGTTTCCAAACTCTAGGTTCGGACGCACGGCAGCGACAAACAACAGCTTCATCGCTTCTGCATGTACGTATGTACTCGTGAGAGCGTCTGATCAGTCCAAGTCGTTTATTGGCTTTATTAACTTGAGCTTCAATGTGCTTATAAAATTTCAACACATTGTCGACATACACTCCTAAATATTTTTCCATTGTCGACTTTGACATCATCACTCTGTCATTGCAACCATGTCTTCTCGTACTGTAATCTTGCTGTTCATTGTTCTTGCCAAGGTGGATTACTTTACATTTGTCAATATTAAAACGCAGCTGCCACTTATCAGCCTGCAGTCCACTAACCTGTCAAGATCACCTTGCAACGGTACTTTTTGCGACGTATTCTTCACTGTATTATAAACTTTTGTGCAGCATACATCGAGCACACGCTAGACACAGCTTCTGACAGATCGTTTATAAACGCAACAAACAAAATAGGCCCAAGAACGCTTCCTTATGGCACGTCACTGCGCACTGATGCCCAGTCTGATACGGTTCCGTTAACACTGACACGTTGTCGTCTACCTACTAGGAAATCTCTGATCTATTTCAGTACATTACTTTTAATTTCCAAAGACTTCAATTTACGCAACAGCCGCTCATGTGGGACACTATCAAGTATCAAATGCCTTGACAAAATCGAGGTACACTGCATCTCCTGTCTCCCTTTCGTCAAGCAGGCGGGTCCATTCATTCAGAATAGATAAGATGTTAGTGGTGCTGGATCTCCGGCAATAAAGCCATGTTGACCGTCTGATAGGAGATTATTAACAGTCAAATGATCCATCAATTGATTCCTCACCCGTCTGATAGGAGATTATTAACAGTCAAATGATCCATCAATTGATTCCTCACAACAGATTCCATTACTTTGCAAACGACACTTGTCAAACTGTGTGGGCGATAGTTGCCCGGACAGCTTTTGTCACCTTTTTGAACAATGGTGTCACTTGAGCTTTTTTCCAGTCAGCAGGCACGATACCTTCGTTCAAAGTTTTTCGAAAAAATAACGTAGGACGGTTGCTAACTCTATGAGTAATCTGGGGGGAAGCCGTCCGGTCCATAAGACTTGTGGGATTTACAGCGATAAGGCGCTTGAGAACCTCGTCTTCCTGTAGTTCAAAACTTGTTAATTTAGAGCCTACTGGGCGCCCCTCAATGGCTGTATTACTGTTCAAGTCCGTTTCAGTGAATACGCTACTGAAAAACTGATGATGAACGTTAGCCTTGCCCTCATCAGAGGATATCTTTCGTTGATCTACTTAAAAATCAGAAATTCTCTTGGTCGCGCACTTTGAACTAGCGTACAGAAATAAGGCTTCCGGGTTCTTTTTTTTTGCATTTTTTGCAATATTTTTATCGAAGATTTTTACTGCGGTGTGACAGCTTTCTTTAGCTTGATTTCGAGCTCTTGCGTATAGGTTATAATCAGCATCGCTACGAGTCTGTAAATAACGCTGGTAGGCTTCCTTTTTGGTTTTCAGCTTAGCTAGAACTATTCTGTTCATCCACTGAGTTTTTTGGCTACACCAAGCTTAATTTTAGGTACACACGCATTAACTGCAGACATAACCGTGTCCCTTGAGAAATGACCATGACTCAGCCACATTCATGTCCTTAATACAGTTCGAAATGTTCACTGCATTCACTGCTTCACGGAGTTTTTCATTGTCACCTTTCGCAAAATTCAAACACTCACGCTTCCGAGGCGTCTTTTCTCTACAGCCTTTAACACTGGAAAATAATGATTGCTGATTTTGATTGGTGATTTTGCCAAATGGAGACTCGTGACGAAGCTCATCTAACATTGATTCATCACTATTAAACACCAGGTCTAGAATATTGGGAGTCTGTTTACTCCTATTATGGGTTGGTTTGTTAACGTGCTGGACTAGGAAGGAGTCTCTCCCAGACTCCATTAATAAGGATGCTGGGTGATTCCCATCCCTTGGAGAGGATCTTTCTGTCCAGTCTAGTTCTGGATGATTAAATTCACCAACGAGCAACGTGGGTGACTTACGGAAAGTCATGTTCGGTAAAAGACTGTTTAGTACCTTATCGTCATCAGAGGAACGGTTTGGCGATCTCTACGCGAGGCCTATGAGGAGGCTATCTTTGTCGTTGAGAGAAAGTTCGCACCTCATTTACTCTCTAGCTGATTAATGCTTTGCAGATAACTTAACATGTTGGGCCCCATAAGAGGTTTTAAACCACAGAACACTACTCTACTCTACTGCACGACTCTTCATTCAAGTTATGAAAACAATAAAAACCTGGCAACTGAAATTAAAAAAGTAGAATTTTCCCCCGTGATTTTTAGGGAGTGTTTCTGCACTACAAATAATGTCTATACACTCGTTTGCGATCACAGTTAACAGTTCATTTATTTGTTAAAAACGGAATCCGAGTTCATGTAAAAACTTTTTATGTACTCTCACTTTGATGCATGCGGTTACTTCTTACATTATTTCCAGGCCTGGATCTATGAACACGACTTCTTGATTATCGAAATGCAATGAAATACTTTTTTTTTAGATACCGAACTAGAATTTTATGAAATATCTAAAAAAGTGTGAGTATTTATATTCTTTATCTTAAAAATCTGATAATTAAAGCAGTATATAGTAATAAATTTTTGAGGTTATCAGTTAGTGAAGAAGCGGTGCGGGCCGCTAATTACAATTTTGGAGCTCACAAAATCTCTATTGGGAGAATGAAAGGCTAATGTTAACCAACCGGGGTATATTATATAGGGATATTGCCAACTCTGGATAATGGTAACATAATTGAACGAATTTGCCGTTCCAGCAGCTACTTAACATCCGAAGGTTTTTTTGCAAAGTAAAAGTGACGGAGAGTGCTTTGCCACGTTGCGTAGAATAAAGATACAGAACACGCAAAAGTTATCGCGGGAGCGAACATAAAACCACATTTTCCTCGAAATTCATAACGTAAGCATATTGTATGAATAGATGGCTCTAGTCATATTTTGGTGGAAACTAATTCCGATACTAATTTATTTTCATATGGTAGTAATACGCCGGACCAGAGTATAAAATTTACTATTTACTAAATTTACTATGCCTAGTTTAAGTTTACTATGCCTGTTATAAATTTACGATGCCTGGTATTTACTATATCATGGTATAAACTCATTTTTTTCAGGAAAGTTCATTTTTTAATTGATGCTTTACGCCATCAGTTGTTAACAAATTCACCCTCCTGTGATTGAATTATACTGCGTGCTCAGACTTCTTGCTAGAGCCGCATGCTGGAAAACACCAAGATGTCTAAATCTACATAACCATGTTTTTGTGTGGACTATTCTATTGGTGAGTAATTATAAAAATATTGTATAAGTGCAGAAAGTGCATTATAATTAATCTATTCACATCGAAGATTATGTGTAATTATATATTTATTAAATATAATCAATTTATCTATGAAAGTATTGGGCAATTTATGATTTGGGTTACCCAGATACATTTTATCAACAAATTCTTAAATTTTCTTAATATATACCATAATAGTTACTCAATCCCTAAACTAAGATGTGGTTGGTCAACTTTTCTCGCTTCATTTTAGGGAAAGAAATCGCACCAACTTTTATCGCACCATTTCACCAAGAAATTCGAGGAGACTAAAATATATAACATAAAATAGATCTTTTAACCCTTAAAGCTGAAGACATGAGATCTCAAATTAACTGTCTCCACGTAAATTTTGCATACCTGTGCCGACGTTTCCAAATCGAAAGTGCCTTGGGTGTCCATAAGGATCACAGCAACCTGGAACAACACAAAAATTAAGTTTTGGACTGCAAATAAGGTTTCACTCAAGTTTCTAAATCTCAAATTTTGAATGAATATCATAGAAGACAGATGAGCAGAACAAAAAGTTCTGCTCTTCGTTCAGACCGCTGGCACAATTATTCCATACTATGAATATAACTTGAATGCCATTGCTAATGTTTCGTAACCAGTTAATGCTGTATTACAGCCGTTACAATTTACTCAGTACTTCAATGTTCATCAATGAAAACTACCCAGGTTTGTAATAGAAACAAATTTGAACTTCTTGTTGCACTCACTTTTTCGCCAGTTGATTTAATGAAGAGGAAAGGCTCGCTCCAGATAGAAATTCCGGTGGTCACTCTCTCCATACCTGCCCTCCATACGAAGCCTCCAATTGGCTGCAATTGCTCACCCAGCCAGTCTTGTGAGCCCTAGGTAGCGTAGAATTGATGTGGATGAAAGATCAATGTCAGACAACTTCAACGAAAGTAATATTAACTTTTTTATCTCTATAAGCGAGTGTATTCGAACGGAGAAATACCCAAAATCGTCATTTATCTCTCAATTACAAGCAATTCACATTTAGGCTTGGTTCACACCATAATGCCGGGCACGTGTCATGGCAGTCACACAGCATTGCTAACTGGTATATTTACATACCAGATTTAACAAATCTGGTATAGTGAGACTGTGCCCGGTTTGGATATGTTTGATCTGGTATATCTGCTAAAATCTGGTATGTTGAGCTGGAAACCAGATATACCAGGAATAAAACAATGGCAACGCTGCACTCACGTCCCGGTCCATATATCTTATGACTTGCATGGCCTTGGCTGGAGCCTTGCAAGGCTGGTGTGAATGGTTCAATAGGAATGCATTAAAGAATATTGGACTGGACCATGACTGGCACGTGCCCGGCAGTATGGCGTGAACCAAGTCTTAGCCGATGAGAACGTGATAGTTTTCATTCTACTAGAACGGATGTGGGCCCAGCACGTCCTCCATAAACAGATCGGCATCATTTATACTCACTTTATTCATGCAGTATTTGAGGAGACAATTCATGAAGAAGCTCTTGCCCTTCCTGAAGGCCCCTGCAATAGACACCACGCAGAGGGCAGTATCGCGCACTTCAGGTCTGTGTAAGACGCTCATGAGGGCCTCTTCGTTGAGTTCGAACTCTCGAGATCCTTCTTTCTGAACCACGATGGGCACTACGCGTCCTCCCATGTTGATATCAGGTGGGAAATGTACGCCTTTTTACTCTGGTGAGAAAAATAGATAATTTACTTTAAAGTTGAGTGCTGTTTATCTACTAAATTGATGCATTAACAAGATATATATGCTACACTTTTAGCAAGTCTTGCTATGGAGCTGCCTTGCGGGCACGGTCCAGCAACGTGAAGGACATTTTGACCGGAACGTGACGGCAGCGTTGCTAACTATTTTTTCACAGAGAATATCCGATTGCCAGCTCAACACACCAGATTATAGCAGATATACCAGAATAAAAATATCCATACCAAACACCATTTCAATATACCAGATTTGCTATATCTGGTTAGGAAATATACCAGTTGACAACGTTGCTTTGAAGTAGCACCATCTCAATATACCAGATTTGTTATATCTGGTATGGGAATATACCAGTTGACAACGTTGCCATGAAGTAGCACAGCTGCACCAGATTTGTTATATCTGGTATGGAATTATACCAGTTGACAACGTTGCTATGAAGTAGCACCATCTCAATATACCAGATTTGTTATATCTGGTAAGGAAATATACCAGTTAGCAACGTTGCTATGAAGTAGCACAGCTGCAACACGAATGCCAGCAAATAACGCAATGAACCGCAGACGGTCGTGATCTTTGATACAGCTTCGTCAACGCTAAGGTTACGAACGTAAATTGCACGTCGCGCGCGTACAGGACATTGTTAGGGAAATATTGGATTTGGTATTTTTTGTTAATTTGAACCAAGGTTTTCACTCTAAGGTAGGTTTCAATACGTTTTAGTTAGTCCCACCTTCGAAATCGCAGTCTGAAAGTGCATTTTTACTTGGATTAAGGTTTGTTCCCTGCGCTAATTAATTTATTATCACATTAACAACAGGAAAAACATAAGGAGAAGCACGGAAAACTTAATATCTAATTTTAAAAATTTAATTTTTAAAGCTTTAATATTTAATTTACTAAAGTATTCTATACCTAGTTCGACATTCTCAGAAATAAATATAATACTTAAAAAAAACTTTTTAAAATAACACGTTTTTCTTGTGGACTAAAAAGTAGAAAATAAATTATGGCTCGCCCCAAAAAAACGTGTGTCGGGCAGATTTATGATTAAAGCGAAAAGCACACAATACACGAATTTTGGAAATTTGATGGTGAACGTAAAGCCCGACCCACGTTTTTTGGGGCGAGCCATAATTTATTTTCTACTTTTTAGTCCACAAGAAAACCGTGTTTTTTTAGAAAGTTTTTTAAGTATTTTATTTTCTCCTTTTTAGTCCGTTGCTGCACATGAAAAACGTTGTTGCCAATTTACTTGACTTGACGTACGTATCGATGATACGCAGCGTCAGCGCCTGCTCGTCTATATAACGTCAGCGCCCGCACATCATACTATATATACTATATATATATATATATATACTTTGCTCATTAAGCTAATTTAGGTCTCTAATTGCTAGTTTTTATGATTGTATCTGAAATTGTTAGGCGGAAATAGCCTGCATGCCGAATTTCAGATCTCTAGAGCAATCAGAAGTGGGCTAATTTTCGTTGTCAATGTTAACAACAAACAAACAAACAAACGCGAAGCTAAGCTAAGAAAAACGTGTTAAAAACGTGTTAAAAAATAATCCACCACCTTAATAACAATTTCCACCATGGCGGCAGACAAGACAAGCGTTTCAAAGTTCACGTAACATCACAAATGTTAAGTATGTTAAATATACGTCAACGTACGTTATCTGTCTTCGAAACGTGCGTTATCTGTCTTATAAACGTACGTTATCTGTATTAGCAACGTACGTT